TTATGTAAAGTTGGGATCTATCTGGAAAACAAAAGTCTATTAAACTTTGGAATCTTTTTTTATTTATTCCACATTAGATCTACACACTAAAACAATCATAAGTAATGCGTTTAATTATCATTATACATAATCACAGCAACAAAGTCATTATTCACAACATTTATTTGTTAGTTGGGGTGTGTTATTGTAGTCTTGACTGAAAATTTTTTTGAGTTTAGTCCAGATTATAAAAGTAAAATGAACTCAGAAATTTTGGAATAGTTAGTGTTATACTAAAAGAATATGTATTGTTGACGATAATATTTACCATTATCCTGAATTTCTTGTAAAAACATATTGCAATAGGTACTAGAAATGTTTTGACATTTACTACGTACATTTATTAGCTAAGGTATTATATCTTTCAAAACAATTTAAGGTACAGATTGTAGTAAAAGATTAATCATATCACGAACTAATTGGAAATTCGTAGTTCAACGAAGTTCCGTCGCTGTGGCAGCGCCCGATAGGGTTCTTAGCAGATGCCAGATGATAATCTGACCGCAACAATAATTTCGCTGGCCCATCTGTATTAATATCACCGCACGTAAGGTTTTACAAAGAAGTTGGGCGGACTGTCATGTTAACTGTAACATACTTGATGTTGGTCTTTTAGATTTCCACGCAAACTCCTTTTTGTGTGAAGTTTTGAGACACAAAGCCCGGAGGACAGCCGAAAAAGCGCGATGGTTTGGCGTAACATTTGTAACTGAATGATTTAATTAACGACTATATAGCGGCAAATGAAGGGATTATTCCTGAATAATAAGCTGGAAACAGTACGGAAGGAAGAGATCGTGGTCTGAAAATATGCGCTATCCCGGCATTGCCTGGGGGAACTTAAAAAAAAAATCCCGAAAAACCTCAGGATAGCTGATGTCCGGGCCGACATTTGAACCTGCGAACTAACTAATACGTTCCCTTAAATTCTGTGAATTTCTTGCATAAGGGATTGTTGACTTCAAGAAGGGCTTTACTCCATGAATGTAACAGCACATCTACAGTGCCATCTGTATGCATCTTAAGAAAAAACTCATTTTCAGGTGGAAACGTAATCTGTATCGCACTTAGCACCCAATACATTGTTTCTCGTAAATTATTATTGATATAAATATCGTAATTCCTTGTGGTATATGAAAAGACACCAAGATGTATAGGCCTATAGTTACATTTAACGGTAAAAGCAGATATTAGTTTTTTAGATGTTGGTATTGGAAAAGAGAAAATCGCTTACAGGTCTGCGTTAATATTTAGGCGTAAACAATCATTAGATTAATGAAACGTGAAGTTTTACTCCTTTTAGATTCCCATGCATTCTTTTTTTTTCTTCTTATATTTTTGTGCACTGTTTTTGATACTTTACTTTCAGAAACAATTCATTACAATTTTGTTGAAAGAAAGTTACGGTCGCCATGTTAGTTAAATTCCGAAATGTTCCGCTACACAGATAGCCTCGGTTCATCAACGTGTGTTGTATCCTGTCTGATCACGCTACACCGACAAATTCATTCCCCCAATGCACGGGATTAACGATTTTTTTTTTCGAGTTATCACTGAGTTTCGAGTACAAGAGCCATTACATTATTGTACGTTGTTGTTTGTTTAATTTTAACCGTCTAATCACAATAAAATATTTTATTAAATATTAAAATATTATTACTACAATTAACATTTAATATTTAAAATATATTAAAATTATGCCCTTTCTATCGAAATGTTCGATTTACCCTTTGTCAGGATTGCATTTAGAATATTACATTTGAATTTATATCGATTATACACCTGAAGATGATTCATTGAAAACCGAAACATGTCGTGAAAAAGATGATGCTCTAATTGTAAATCGAACATTTCGATAGAAAGAGCATCATTTTAATATATTTTAAATATTAAATGTTAATTGTAGTAATAATATTTTAATATTTAATAAAATATTTTATTGTGATTAGACGGTTAAAATTAAACAATTATAATCATCATAATATGACGCAACATTATCATCTTATTGTACGTTACTGTTAGTGACTTATGAGCTCAGTTTCCTTCAGCCCAAAGAATCTTCCGCATTTCGACGTCATTGTAGGAGGAACCCATTCTTTCATAAAATGACAGATGGCTATCCATTTGGCCGAAATTCGTTTAGGCCCGCGGTATTTCATTTGTTCTTTCTCGTGATGAATGCAACGGCTTCGATGTGATACGTCCTTGCCACAGTGAAGGAAATTCGAAGGCTTCATTCATTTCTGTTTTTCTATGTTTCGATTAGGGCGGCTGCAAACTGATGAAATAGCAGCGTTGTTCCCTCCTAGCTTCAAAACAACTGACAGTCAGTAAAGTCTTTTTAATTTGTATGAAAAAAAAAATTGAATAAATTTATTTATGAAACCTGTCCATAATTTTAGCGGAGCTATTTAAAATGCTATTAAATATTTGCAGTATAGAAAAGGTCCGATTTCTATACAGTTAACTGAATAAAATTCTTTCGTGTTAATGCTTTTAAAACGAAATTAATTTCGTTTCATACAACAGATGACGCTAATTAACATAATTTTTATTCTAATTTATCTTAATTTCACGTATTACGCTTTGTCACTTTAAGTAGGTTGCCATCCTTGAGTATAGGAAATCATAAGATTAAATAAATTTAATGGCAGTGAAATTAATGTACTCAGATAACTTCCAAAACAATTGATCAAACGCAAATTATGCGATAAAGTAGCGATTGTAGGAAGTCGATAGTTGTTACAGAGTAAGAAGCGATAGGCTGGATTAGAATTTGCCTATGTGAACTATTGACTTCCCAAAACCGCCCTGAAGATTGAGACAGCTTGTGTCTCCGAAACGTTGGTATTTACCTACGCACGATAAGCTGATTTTGAAGCAGGAAGGAACATTGACGTCACTATTATATATCTCAGTGCACAACAGAACTGGCACTTCATGAGACTTTTGCCAACAGTAAAATAATATATTTTAAAGAGTTCATTTGTCCGACACTTGTGCTCTCAAAAAAAAATCCCACTCATTAGTTCAAGACAGATGAGCTGTGTCAACTTGAATACATATTATCACTCAAATTCTCAATTACTATAAGACTCCATTTACACCGTAAAGAACGCCACACCTCACTATAAATAGGCTAGATAATGTGAAAAAGATCTTCACTCGGACCACACGTTGCCAACATTTTTATAATATGGCGCATTTGAAGTCTTGGACAGGATTTCCTTTACCACTCACATGACTGACACATTTATACCATTAATATATATATATATAAAAGTAATACTGCTTGTCAAGAATACTTGTTATTAATATTTACTTTATTATTCCAGTTCATATAATATTTATATTATTAGTATTACGTATTATTATTATTATGATACAATATTATTGTGCCGTACTCCTTTGTTCTGTTTTTATATAACTGCCGCAACATTAGGCAGCTATTTTGAACGTCTCAAGCTTTTATTTGCATTGGGAGAATTTTCCCTCCCTCGAGTGTTTTACCCTGTGTTCCGGGGTGGCATTTTCAGTGCTGAGTGGTGTTCAACTTAAAAACAATAAGATATGCAGATTTTGGGAACTGTGATTCAGAATCTCTAAAATAATATATGCTACGAATGTTTACGTACAGAGGTTGGTATCCCTGGTCAACATTGAATACCAAATCTGCGTGTTTCAGAACCATTGCTTTTACAGACGAAATGAAATGAAATTATCTACGCCGTGATGAATTTTCTTTTGTTGTTTTGTGTTAAATTCTGCGTGGGTGTTGCTTTTTTAGACCTCTAAAGTTAGCCCCCCCACTGAAATTTTGTAAAATTCTGTAAGAATATTAAAATCTGAAGAGAAATTGAGCACTGAACGCTGAGTTATCTATCGGAAGATACTTCCAGAAGGAATCGGCTTAATGCTAATAACCAAACGTAATCTGAAGCAGTTGTTTCGTATTTGTCACTTTACCGTCAATCGTTAAAATTCGTAACTCCGGACGTTTCTGAATAGGTCATAACGTTTATCACTGTATTATCAGCATAATTTCACCTGAAGCAAATCCACCTCTTCAGTGTAATCACACGCATTAAGGAGGTAAAAATATCATCAGAAACAGTCGTGATTTTCTTCCGGGACTCCCGAATCTGAGCTGGAAATTGAGCGTTAATGAAAATTCTCTGCATATTTATATTAAGATTGTAGAACAATATAGCGAAGCTACTTTCCACTGCTATGCCCTCAGCTGATTTCAGTAGGGAGTGGATTCGTCTGATGGACAACCCTTTTTCGATCCATCAGAACACCCTGTAGATTTTTACGATGTGACCTGTTTCTCCTCAGACGACGGGACAGCTGCAGGAAGTTACTTGATTTGCGAATAAAGACGTGCCTAAGGGCCTAGGTCTAGGTGAATGTTGCACCAGTAACTCATTAATTCGTGATTCACGAGAAACTGGGAATCGCTGTATTCTGTTGTACTGTACATGGGTTTATGGTATGGTTCAAGGTCACAGCCGTGAAAACAGGCTAAAAATAAATCCTGTTGCCACGCGTGAGATAATAGATACAAATTTTTGTTGAGAAATTACACATTCATAATATGAGACCTACATTTATATTTGTATTAAAATTATTGTAAATGCGATAGGGAATGTGAAAGTAGTTTCGTGGTTAAAATAAATTGTCAACAACGCTATGAGACAGTTTAAGATGCAAGTTGCA